ATCATATGATGGACATCATCAGAGCTGGGTTTCATTCTTGTAAGAGTCTCACGTTAATACTAAACCAAGAGCAGGGTATCATATATATATATATATATATATAAATAAGTAGTCGTGTGACGGATGAAGGCTTAGAACGTTTTAACCAGAATCGAAGGAGACTGGTTTGGGGACAACATCAATCAGAATGTGTTAGTAAATGTTGTTAAATTGAGCTCAACAATTATAAATCAAGAGGTTCCTCCAGACCCAACTTTTCTTCGTATAATATCATTTGATGCGGCTATTTTCAAATATTTATTTATGAACCGTTATATGTGTAGATGTTACCTATCCGTCTCTTGACGATTGCCAGCTCGGAAATAATGCTTTGTTAGATTTTGTAGAAATTTTGAGCAGAAACACTGTCTTCTTTCAAAATAGCTAATATTTTTTGAATTTTTAAGATTTGCAATGCTTTCTTTTTGGATTGATAGTAAATCACCTGCGTCTTATTTAGAAGAATTCCCGGTCACTGCATTGAATTTCACTCTAGTTTGTATAATAAAGGTTCGTTCTCATCCAGGCTGGATTTCAGTTTCAGCCTCGTATGTGCTTATTTTTGACGCGAGGGGTTGGTATTTGAGATCAGCAGTGGCCCTTGAACAGTGACCCAACGGGAAGATTCTGACCTCGAGGTCTTCGACCTGGTGTTGGGATAAGAGGGGCTGGGAATGTGGTACTTGGCGGTGGCATGTTCACACCAATCCGCCTTACTCCGCCCATCGTGTTTGTCCCTTTTTCCATCCCGCTACACCAGCAATGCGCCAGATGGGACACGCTCACCCCAGGGCCATCTGCTGACCGTTACCGGGCAGAGCGACTTCGCCTACCACCGGCTCCAGGCGCCAACCAGCCTCGAGACCGGCCAGGTCGAGTCGCGGCTCTCTGAGAGCACCCTCCACCTGCTTGACGCAGACTGGGTCGAGCCGAGGTCGCAAGGTCGTGCCGTCGGGCTCACGGTCGACTCACCTCCCTGGCACCCGATGTCCCCGGTGCCCCCAAAAGGTGGGTTAGGGAAGAAGTCCCGCTTGTTGGTTCATCCACCCCCGAACGGATGTGAATTCTGCTTGTCCACATCATCTGCATTCCTGGGGCTGTTGTATGGGGATAACCTATTTTACTTGCACTTTGGATAAATATGATTTCACACCTCAATTCACCCCAGTTCGCATAAACTGATG